GACAAGTGTACTTCATTTTTCCTCCTTCTTGTTATTCTCCCTTGAAGATATAAATTAGGCAGAAATGATAGCTTCCCCCCTCAAAAAATAACTCAATTACAGTAATTATGGTATTTTCCTTTAACTTGGCTTAATTTGGGATGAGTATAAAATCATTGTAATACAAATGACAAATACCTTTGCATGGAGAACTTAAAAAAAAACAACAGCCCTGGAACTTTGTGAGATACAGATGTATCATCCAAACACCAACCAGCTTTTCCCCTTCAGTTCAATCATTCCATTTATATGCAAATATATTTTAATTGAGGAATATGAATTTTAACTGATGAATGACTGCCATTTCTATGATCTGGAGACAGCTGCAGTAAGACTATCTCAGTGATCCACACAGAGCTGTATTTCCCCTCAGCAGATGTGTGAGGACTGAGCGAACCATCAAGCATCAACGCTAATCTGTCAATTAATAAAATGTTGGAACACAAAGAACACAAGGGCACTTTCATCGCTTGTTGAATCATCTGCTTCTGTTCTTGTAAAAGAGAAGTGTCTGTTATTAGGTCCTTCTTTTAGCATATGGTTTATTTTCTGCTCTGTCCCTCAATTAGATCCTTAGTTTCAGCACGAGTGTTTTTTTAATCAATAGAATCAAAGAATTCATTTCTTTTTTTTTAAGTTTCACAAACTCTAGGCTGGTGTTTCTTAACCTTGGCAGCTTGGAGATGTGTAGACTCCAACTTCTGGAATAACAGAATAACAGAGTCGGAAGGGACCTTGGAGGTCTTCTAGTCCGACCTCTGGTCAGGCAGGAAACCCTATACTATTTCAGACAAATGGCTGTCCAGTCTCTTCTTAAAAACTCCCAGTGTTGGAGCTTTCACCACTTCTGGAGATGGGTTGTTCCACTGGTTAATTGTTCTAACTGTCAGGAAGTTTCTCCTTAGTTCTAGGTTGCTTCTCTCCTTGCTCAGTTTCCATCCGTTGCTTCTTGTCCTGCCTTCAGGCACTTTGGAGAATAGGTTGAACCCCATTCTTTGGGGCAGCCCTTCAAATATTGGAACACTGCTATCACATCATCCCTAGTTCTTCTTTTCATTAAATTAGACCTACCCAATTCCTGCAACTATTCCTCATATGTTTTAGCCTCTAGTTCCCTAATCAACCTTGGTGCTGTTCCCCAGAATCCCCCAGCCTGCAAAGAAGGCACACAGATATTCCCAAAGGTGCTTTTTTCCCCCAAAAGGCAACTGGACTTTCTTTTATTTTTCTTTGAAGATACTTTGCTTCTCTTGACTGAAGAAGCATCTTGGATGAGAAGCCAAATGTCTTCAAGGAAAAACAAAGGAAGTCCAGTTGCCTTTTGGGGAAAAAAAACCACCTTTGGGAAAACCATAAACTTGATGACTGAGGACACACCAGAATTGTTTCTAAATGGGAAATAGTTCAGTTACCAGGTTTCTTGTAACGCCTCTTCTTTGATTTCAAAAAATCTCGCTTAAAGAAGATTCTGTTTAAAGCATGCAGGGTGGAAGTCCAACTGCTTGAGAAGCATGTTTGAACTGAATTCTCTTCGGCAAAGTGACATGATTACAGACTTGAACACTGGACGCTATCTAACAAAATGAAATTCAATGGTGAAAAAAGCAAGGTTCTACATTTAGGCAAGAAAAATCAACTGTACAAGTATAGTATAGGGGGTACCTTGCTCAATAGTAGTAACTGTGAGAGGGACCTCGGAGTCCTAGTGGACAATCATTTAAATATGAGCCAGCCGTGTGCTGCAGCTGCCAAAAAGGCCAACACAATGCTAGGTTGCATTAACAGAGGGATAGAATCAAGATCACGTGAAGTGTCAATACCACTTTACAATGCCTTGATAAGGTCACACTTGGAATACGGCATCCAGTTTTGGTCACCACGATGTAAAAAAGAAGTTGAGACTCTAGAAAGAGTACAGAGAAGAGCAACAAAGATGATCAGAGGACTGGAGGCTAAAACGTATAAGGAACAGTTGCTGGAATTGGGTATAGTAAGTTTAACGAAGAGAAGGACGAGGGGGGACATGATAGCAGTATTCCAATATCTCAGGGGCTGTCCCAAAGAAGAGGGAGTCAAGCTATCTCCAAAGTGCCTGAGGGCAGGACAAGAAGCAATGGATGGAAACTAATTATGGAGAGAAGCAACCTAGAACTAAGGAGAAACTTCCTGACAGTGAGAACAATTAACCAGTGGAACAACCTGCCTCCAGAAGTGGTGAATGCCCCAACACTGGAAGTCTTTAAGAAGAGACTGGACGGCCATTTGTCCGAAATGGTATAGGGTTTCCTGCCTGAGCAGGGGGTTGGATTAGATGACCTCCAAGGTCCCTTCCAACTTTATTATTATTATTATTATTATTATTATTATTATTATTATTATTATTATTATTATTATTATTATTATTACTGTTATTGTTACTGTTGTTGTTATTATTGTTATTATTGTTATTATTGTTATTGTTATTGTTGTTGTTGTTGTTATTATTATTATTATTATTATTATTATTATTAAGATCAGTAAATCGAGCAGATTACCAGTGGCAATTTACTCTTTTGCTGTACTCTTCTATCACTTGGCAAAAGGCAAAAGGGGTCAGACGACCCTTACCTATTTTATATTTTATTTAAATGCTTATATCAAAAGAGCTACTCTGCAGTGTTAGTGGGGGTGTTGTGAAAGGAAGAAATGAAATAGCATGATATGAAAGAATGAAATAACATAGTTTCCTCGTAGCAGAAAGGGAGCCAATTCAAAGGAAATAGAAAGTACAAATCTCAACAAGCGTGGCTTCATTTTTAAATTAGTTAATACTTTTGATGCCAGCTATTCAAATAATTTTTACTACTGTCCAAAAAAAAGCTATATTGTGTGATATAATTTGAATAACTTAGCAGATGGAGAAGAACCACGCTACTGATTATGCTTTGTTTTTGCACCAAAATCGAATGCAATTCTGGAGCACACGCCCCAGGCCAATTCCCACATGCCTGTTTATCACCTGATGATTTAAATATCAAGCAACAACTTGTGTGAGCAAGCTAACCGTGATCGCACAAGGCCAAACCTCTGCAGAAGCAACACCATACAAGAGAACTGGCTCTGACATGAAACGGAGAGAGACTTTTGATGATGTGCAATTAAAAAAAAATGTATTTGCAAGGGTGAACTCCTATTACTTTGGGGGCGCAGTATCTAACTATTGGTAATGCTGATACTCTCTTCTCTGTTTTACTCCACATTGACTGTCCCAAAGATGCTTTTTAAAAAGACAACTGGACTTTGTTTTTCCTAGGAAAAACAAAGTTCATTTGCTTTTTGAAAAGGCATCTTTGGGACAACTGTGACCTGGATCAGGGCTTTTCAACCAGTGGTACGGGTACCACCTGTGGTACATTGGCACCTGGCAGGTGGTACGCGACCCTCCTAGAAAAGTGGTAGCAGGGGAGGGGAATGAGCTGAACCGGTGGCAGCACCGCACAAGCCTGAGCGAGAGATGGCTGGAGCTGCAGGGCTGTCAGGGCTCAGCGGAAACGCCAGGATCAGCACCAGGGTCCAGCTGGAGCTCGGCGCTGATCCTGGCGCTTCTGCTGAGCCCAGAAAAAGCGCCAATCAGCTGGAATGTTGCAGCATCTCCAGGGTCTTGTGATTTACATTCAGATGCTTGGCCACTGATTCATATTTATGACGGTCACAGTGTCCCAGGGTCATGTGAAGTGACCAAAACCTGCTGCAACCACCCAGCAGACGGGGGGAATAAAAACCAAACACCCCTCACCCCACCCCTGCTGCCAATCCTCAACAGAAATGCTCACAAAAATGAAAACCTCAGACAGGAGGAAGAGTGCCGCCGGGCGGGCAGGCAGGTGTCTTGCTCGGCTGTGGCTTGGGGGGCACTTTTTTCAGTGCCATTCTAACTTCGAACAGTCACTAAGTGAACTGTTGTAAGTCGAAGACTACCTGTACTTCATCACTTTTTTCCTTTTTTTTTTTGTCATCAAGTTTTTGATACCTTGTTAGGTGACTGGTGGTACTCGGATGTTGCCATATCCTAAAAGAGGTACCATGGGTGAAAAGGTTGAAAAGCCCTGACCTGGATTATTGAGAATCTCCGTAGACATCCACGTTGACTGGTTGACCAACCCAACTTCCAAAGCCAAGACAAAGTGGCTACAGAAACTCACTTTCAGTGTCCTGCAGCACCTGTTATTTTAATCAGCCAACCTCCCTCACATGAGCATGTCCTAGACTGGGTGGCCTGCAGTCTCTGGAGGGATGGTGAGAGGATAAACACCATGCCAGAGTGGAGGATCTAAAGCCACCCTTGGCTTCTTCAGTTGGCAGGGAGACGATGAGAAACCAATGTCTATGGGGACAGGTCTTCTGGAATCAATTAAGGAGATGTTCCCACACCAGGGCAAAAAAAAACTGTGCAGATTTACCTGCCGGAGAAAGGGTGCTGGAAGAGGAATACTTTTTAGTGCAAAAACTAGTGTGAGAGATGCAATGCAGAGTTTTGCAGGTTTAATTTCAGTGTAACCCTGTAAGCAGTCAAGAGTTTAGGTTGTGCCAAACTCAGCTATTTGCAGAGGAAAAGAAAGGGAGATAGTGTATAAAACTATTTTACAATTCTGATTCTTCCCCCCCCCCCCGATTTCAGCAGTACACACCTATTTGTGTGTGCATTCCCACAAACAATGATTGCCCAGAAAGCAATGGAGGCCACAATCTGAACAAACAGATTTTAGAGTGCATAAAGCTACAAGCCTTTAGTTGCAGCTGAGTATAAATCTCTCTGCTTAAAACGAGTATTAACCCAAGTATTTTATGCCTACCCTGATTTCTCTTACATTCCGTTTTTCAGTTCGCAGTGTACAATAAAAAAAAAAAGCAACATATTTTCCATTCCAAATCGAAGAGGACAATAAATTAAGGGACTTAAGATAAAAAGGCAAATGCGGTCATCTGTTTTGAGATTCTTTATTTCAGACAAAACCATGCTGCTATATACAAAAAAAAAGTGACTTTCGAAGCAACTGCAATACACAAAAGGCAGAAATGCTGTCTAAAAGTTACACCATGCTGTCAACAACTCAGTGCACAAATTATCTTATATCTCTTTCTTTCAGGCCAACTTTACAAGGTGCCTCTTTGCTTCTGAACTTCTGAACTATCTGCTTCCAACTCTGCTACTCATAGTCAGGGGAACGTAATAAATCCTGCCTCTTCAACACACCCGACATACAAGGGAAAAAAAAAGTGAATTAAGCCAGAATACAGATGGCTCTCCACTTACAACAGTTCATTTAATGACGGTTCAAAGGTACAACGGCACTGGAAAAAAGTGACTTATGGCCTTTTTTCACACTGACGACCGTTGCAGCGTTCCCATGGGCACGTGATCAAAATTCAGCCACTTGGCAACTGGTTAATACTTATGATGGTTCCAGTACCTCAAGCTCATGTGATCACCTGTTGTGACCTTATGACAAGCAAAGTCAATGGGGAAGCCAGATTCACTTAACAGCTATGTTACTAGCTTAACAACTGTGGCAAGAAAGGTCGTCATAAGTCAAAGACTATCATCATAAGTCAAGGACTATCATCATAAGTCAAGGACTTATAAGTCGTCATAAGTCAAGGACTATCTGTACGAACTGTCTTTATCAATTTGACCTAAATGAACTGCCAAAATAAGAGATCTAGAGGATTGACCCAAATCCTAGATACAATACATTTCTCTCCCAACTTCTGAATTCCAATATTCTTTAATCTATAACAATAGAGATTTAATCTGGATATATATATATATATATATTCACTCAATATACATTCAATATACATCGGTTAAAAGCCAGAAATTGTAACAGCCAAGCCACATTGTCTCTTAAATGACTCGGGGATCTATGCCAAATCAAGCCATTTTTACAATTGAGAACTTACAGGCAGGATGAAAGAAACCATAATAACAAAGGCAAGCACTTAGAAGGGGGGAAAAAAAACAATTTGTAAAACAAATAACAGTCATGTTTTTAGCTTCTCGAGGTTTTGGAGGCTGCTCCTATGCTAAAGGTGTTTATATTATATTCCTCTTCCAGCTGGGCTCCTTAGCCACAGGACAGTTAACCCTTGACATTAAGGATTTGCGCGGAGAGGCCGTGATGCCAGTTGCGCAGTTTGGCAAAACGTGGGCCGTTACGCTCTGTTTCAAACCTCTCCCTGTGGCATGGAAAAAGAAAGGGGTGGGAGCAAGGAAAGAGAGAAAGAGAAAGAGAGAGAGAGAGAGAGAAGGGATTGGGTTTAAGTTGCCTCCAAATGCTGTGTTTTAAAAAAAAATGAAAAAGGACAAAGCAAAATCTTTTTTGGGAGGGCAAAAATCAGAATTGCTCTAAAATTTGGAAGCACCAAATTCCCCTTCCTCAGCCAGATTCAGTTGGTTTTGACAGGGCTGCTTTTGCTAGAAATCCATCCTTCGGCCAGCAAATATCCATTTGCTCCAGCAAACAAAAGTTTCACAGCGCACACAAACAAAATGCGAAGGCTTTCTGCGTCAAGGTTAGCTTCTCGTTGTACGTCAAGCATTTATTTGAGTAGCAGTAGAGAGGTTCTTTTTCTGTTATCAGGGAATAATGGATACTCCCTGGAAGTGATGTCACAGATTTGGGCATAAATAACGCCCATCTGTTTGGGATTTTAAATGATAAAATGCAAGTGGCTTAAATAACTATATGACACCTGCAAGTCATTCAAATTCATTGAATTTGGGTCAATACAGGTCTCTTCTTAAAAAAAGCCTTTTGAGTGGGCAAAAAATAATAACAACAAAGGACAAAAGATTTGTTGAAAAGATTGATACAGTTTGGTGGGTTTGTTAGGCTAGTAACCCCCCCCCCTTTTTTTTTTTTAAGCACACGACTTCAGAAATTTAAAATTTGTTTACATGCAGTACCGGAGAATGAATCAAATGGGATGAAAGAAAATATTAACATTCTCCTCCGCAGGTTTTTCTCCTGCACAATTCCCACCTCAAACTTTTTTTGTGTGTGAAATTCATCTGGAGATGGGTTTGCTTTCCCCTGAAAATGTCTATGGGAAATCTTGACTCAATCCACAGTAAATGTGCTTGGTGCAGAGAAGAAAGACGCTGGACTATTGAGAAAGGATTAAATTACTCCTGTTTTTCTCAAAAAAACCTCAGATCAAATCAGACCTCTCCGCTGGAATTTTCAGCACAGTACATACCCATGCTTGTAAAAACAAGAGGGTGACCTTTCTAAATTACTGTAGCAACCCAAGGAATCCAGGACGATGGTCTGATGTCTACGCTGGGTGCTCTAGTCTGTATTAGTTGTGTGGATGAAATTAGAAGCAGAAGCGTCTCGCAGCTCCAGGGATGGAGACAGAGAGTCGAATTCCCACCCTCTCCAGAAAATCATTTTCATCAGAAGCCCAGCAGGCGAAGCCATAGAAGAATCTTCTTCCTGCTGTCTGCAGTTTCAGCTCTCCCTGGAACCCCTTTTAGGTGGCAAATTGCATTTTTAAAAAGTGTGCCTTAATTTCAATCACATCATCATTAAGGTCTCATTAATTTGGGCCTCACCCTGTTTTTTTCCAGAAGTTTTGTTAGCATAATGACTTCAAGAACATCTCTACTGCTTCTCAGACTTGACGAGTTGAGAGAAAGGTAAATTAGATTACAGACAGAAGCTTTTCCAGGGCATGCTTCTTTTTGCATTACAGGTATACTTGCCTTTGATTTAATATGGCTTCCTTCCTTCCTTCCTTCCTTCCTTCCTTCCTTCCTTCCTTCCTTCCTTCCTTCCTTCCTTCCTTCCTTCCTTCCTTCCTTCCTTCCATCCATCCATCCATCCTTCCTCAATCCAGCTTGCTATCATGTAGCTAGTAACCAGGAGCTATGTCAATGGTAGAGCTAGAGATACTACTGCATTTGTTAGCAAGTGAGATCCAATTATCTTACGAATTACAGCTCGTTCACTCATTCTTTCTTTCATTTTCTCATTCATGGATACCAAGAGGCTCTTAGTTACCATGAAAAGGAGAGAAGCACATACAACACACAGTTAAAGCACATAAAGGACTCCTTTGATGGTACAAAAGGCACAGCGCCTGGTCTTAGAGCAGATGACGTCCAGGACAGAATTCAACAGATCGAAGGAACAGGACAATTCTTCTTTACTTTTTTGTTTCCTTTTCATAGGTTTGGTGAAAAGGTTGCTAAGGGCCGCCACTATGCTATATTCATTCATCATCTGAATCAATTCACGGGTGTGACTTTGGGTGTAGAACCCAAGATATGTGGTGCTGAATGCCCTAGTGAATAGGGAGGTCCATATAAACCTCTCCATTGATGCTGGTACTTTGAGGTTCTGCTCTTTGATAATGCTAAGATATCTAGCTTCAACTCTGTGGCTGTGTTCACCATCAGTCATCACCCAATTGACTTAGGCACCTAGAACCCAAAATTCCTTTCTTTGTGTGTGGTTTTTAGAGAAACCTCACAGTCTGACCATGATTGTTAAACACTGAGAGTGCCTTCTGAGGTGGGAACAAGACAAAAATAATCATGTAAACCCTAGAACAAAACCATATCACAATACTACTTCCCTCAACACCCTTCTAAGCCACGATTGCTGTGTTCACACATCATGGTAAGCCAAAACAAGCACATCATGCTACAACTTAATGGGATAACAAAATAATAGAGTTGGAAGGGACCTTGGAGGTCTTCTAGTCCAACCCCAAGCAGGAAACCCTATGCTATTTCAGACAAATGGTTGTCCAATCCCTTCTTAAAAAAAACCTCCAGTGTTGGAGTACCCACAACTTCTGGAGGCAAGTTGTTCCATTGATGGATTGTTCCTCATAGTCAGGAAATTTCTCCTTAGTTCTAAGTTGGTTCTCTCTTTGGTTAGTTTCCATCCCTTGCTTTTTGTCCTGCCTTCAGGTGCTTTGGAGACTGGGTATGATTGACTGGGTACACAATTAGATGTTTGATTTGGGTTTAGCCAAGGTGCTTTATAAAATGGTATTATGGCTTAATGGTGGAGATGGCTTGGCCTATTCAATTTTCTAGTTGAACAACTCCAGTGAAAAGATAAAGAACTCCAAGCAAATGCTCTTTTTAAAAAAAACTAAATGAAGAAAACCATAATCAAATCAAAATATATCATTGCTACATGACCAAGATTTCGAGAATCTCACAAGAAACTGACACTCATTAATACCTCAACAGTCCCGTTCCGAAGGAACAATATGAAATGTAAATTTGAAGCACTATGTAGTCTGTAATTTGGGGGGGGGAAGGCATATGGAAACTGCAGTCATAAAAAGACAGCCCCTATGACTTAGTAAAAGTAAGCTGTTGTTTTTTTTTAAATCTAAACATTTTGAAATGTGAAAGAATAAAAAAAACACGGGGGCTCTGCGGGAGCTCCTTCAGCCATTTTGAATTTCCACGGTGAAACCAGAGAAGACAAGAACAATATTGCTGTGCTCGTTTGTGAGCAGAGTCTTCCCTAAATTGGGATGAGGGCAACTTGTGTGGAGGTTTGCACCGTTCGCTGGGATGGTTGTCAAGGGCCATTTGGAAAGGCTGCCCCGAGGAAGCCTTGCCTTTGAAATGTTGCCCGAAGGAGGTGTAATGAACGACACGTCCACATTGTGAAAAACCGCAGAAACAAGTGAGTTTTCTAGACTTGCGTCGTCGTACAGAAGGATGAATTTTGAAAAAAAGCCTTTTGCCAGATTAATTCTGAAGAGAGAGTTCTTTTATCTCACCCTCAGCTTTACAAGCTGATCTCATGCACACTAAATTCTTAAAAAGAAAAAGAAAAAGAAAAGAAAAGAAATACCCTAAGAAGAAAAAGACAAGGGCAAGCCACTTCTAAAACTGTTGCCCAGAAAATTGCAGGGGTCAGTCTAGGGCAGGGGTAGGCCACCTTGGCTCTTTTATGACTCGTGGACTTCAACTCCCAGAATTCCTGAGCCAGCCTGGCTCAACTTGGAAATCTTTCCCTTTCCCCTCAGCGTGGCTGGCTCAGGAATTCTGGGAGTTGAAGTCCACGAGTCATAAAAGAGCCAAGGTTGCCTACCTCTATCCTAAGTCCTCCTGTTCTAAGCGGTGAGCCTCCTAGACCAGGAGTAGGCAACCTTGGTTCTTTTATGACTCGTGGACTTCAACTCCCAGAATTCCTGAGCCAGCATGGCTCAGCTTGGAAACCTCTCCCTTTCCCCTCAGCATGGCTGGTTCAGGAATTCTGGGAGTTGAAGTCCACGAGTCATAAAAGAGCCAAGGTTGCCTACCCCTGGCCTAGGCAGTTAGCAGGAGTCAACCCTAATGCAAAGTCACCACCCACACAAACACACACATACAAATGGAACAAATCAATCTTCTGTGGAGATCCCTAAAGACAGTCCCACCCTGGTTCCCCAAAAGCCTAAGGCTACCTCTGTTCCTTGGGTAACATCCCATTTCTTTGGGTTTTACCAGTGAGGAATTTTTATATCCATTGTTTGCTGTCGGAGTAACCCATCTACTATTGGTAGCCAACTCTACCATCAACAGTAATAGTATTTCTAAGGCAGAGATACGAGAAGAAAATATCTATGGTTGGTTCTGCCAGCTGCTATAATCACCCAGATGTTTCTCATCACCCAGAAGCCTAATTTAAATCACAAAACAGAATTGGCATAATAACAGCTATTACCGGACTCTATCAAATCTCTAAGAGATGGGTACGTTTTCCTGAGATGATTGGGTGCATGTACAGCAGGTGTACATGCAATTAAGACTTCACACAGGACAACTGAGATGCTGAGACCACATTACAATTCATACACAGAAATGTCTTCTGTGTACAAATTTGCTAGCCTATGCGATTTAGATCTCTGTTCCGTAAGAATTCTACTACATGCAGTGAAGACCTTGGTCGGTAGATCTTCTAAGGCCAAAGAGAGAAGGAGAACTTCAACTAGAACAACAACTGTCATCCTTCATGGGAAGCATGTGCAGCCATTTGTAGTTGCAAATATATTTCAACAATTACAGACAACGGGAGCTTGGGCACCGGAATCTCAGGGTTCAAAACTCAACAAAAGCCAACCTGTGTTAGCACAATGAAAACTTTGGCGAAACAAATAAGCCAGGTCACAAACCAAAGGCCCTGTTTATAAGGAGACATTCAGGAAGGCGGAGATATGACAACAAGAGAAGAGGTTTCTCTTCTGCAGACCATCACAACTAAACTAGAACAAAACCAAAGTGAAGCCGGTAGCCAATTCCAACAACACAATTGCATCTGCCTCAAGAGCTTCTAAATATTTGCAAACGGACAAACATTTCACTCTAGTAGCAAAAGCAGTCCTGTGTGCTCACACTGCAGTATTGTGAGAAGATCGACCCAAATAAATTTGTTGGGAATGGATTAAATTTCCCTCTTTGATTTAGTTTCTGCAATGACACTCTTTGGTTGTCTTACGCATAATCTTGGAACGACAATGTTTGTGCACCTCCATTGAAACAAATGCCAATCCCAGCATCATCCCAGTAAATGCTTGTTAAAACTGCAACCCAAGAGTAGGGCAAAGCACATGCAGGCTGGTTTGTTGGTCTTTCTGGCAAAGTTAGCCCATCACAACCCATGGGAGATCCTTCTACCAAAACTTCTCATCAAGTGCTCCTTGGAATTACAATAAGTTCTCATCTGGTCTGCTTTGGACATCTGGTTAAACCAAAAGCGTGTTTGTATTTTAGTGATTTGAGTAGAAGTAGTAGGGTTTTTTTAAGGGTCAAAACTCTAATGGGCATAAAAAAAAATTCAATTAATGCTAGTTCTTGTTATCGGTAAATAGAAGGCCAGAAGGTAGCTAATTGCCTACCTTGATCTTCTCAAGGCATCCTCATCTGGATCTTGCACTGCAGATGAAAAATTGGTAACGTTAGAAGGAGAAGCATCAGGCAAGACGTTTGAATGGAGAATGAAACCTTACTACAGTTTGTGGAGAAGAACTACATCTTACTCTCACGGGAACAGGCTCACTCTATAGAGGAAATCTACTGGAATCTCTCAGCATCGTTCATTTTATCTCAAAAGTATCCATGCCTTCCAGTTTAGATTATGGTCATGTTTCCCAATGGAACTTATCTGAGGAATGGGGGACAAAGTAGGTGTCCTATTCATTCTGTAGCTAAGGCCATTGTATCCCAGTTTTCAAAGAGAAGTTTTAATTTGAATTCTCTCTGCATTTCCTACCTTGCTTTGCCAATCTCAAAAGTCTCCCCCAAATAAGATTTTAGGAAAGTGGATTTATACTGGTATTATTGTCACAGATTACCTGATATTTGATCTGACCAATCCCAAAGCAGGGAGTGTTTAGTAATTGTGAAAAATAAGAATACACTGAACGGCAGAAGGGCTGTTTTGCTTTTCACTCATGAGAGTTGGTGATAAATTCATTCTTTAGCAATAGATGGTTGATTGATCATGCTGTTCATTGCATTCATCTGGAATGCAAAACCATGTTTAACCCAGACAGCCCTACAAAAAGTGGATTATTTGGAGGCTTGGCTGTGAGGTTTCAGACCAGAGTCCAGCCTGGATATTGCATTGGTCTTAAAAACCTCTGCAACTTATTGTAACCACCACTAATATCATGGCTTAGTTTGAAATTTGGAATCTTGTTGTTGCAGTGGAACCTGCTTCAATCTTTATGAATGGCTATTGTTTTGATTGGGAAGACTTTCTTTCCTTGGCTCTCTTCTGATCTAATTTCGGCATAGATTTTTTTTTTCCTGCACAGTATAGACACAAAGGTCAAAATGCTGTTGCCTAGGTCTTCCTAGTTGGGCTGAGAAGCGACCTTCAGCCAGTTCTCCTGAACTCTTCAGAATGTTAAGTCATGATCTTCTGAAATATTACAGATTGGGCCCAACAGGGACTATAAAACCTTCGGTCATTTTTTCAATAGACTTTCAGCATCAGAAGAAGGCAGAGGGACCAGTTATCTACATTTCTGAAAATGAGTGCCATCAAATATGGGTGAAACCAAACTATAGCCTGAAATTTTATGAAGCTCAAAAGAAGGAGACACTCCCATGTCTCTTCCAAGTGTCAGGTGACTTGTTGAGCCAGGAGAATCACACCAAATTTGATAGATCACTTCTTGGTTTGAGGCAATCCCTTTATCTTATAGGACTTTTTTTATGTCTGCACCAGGAATCTACAATGGTTTAGGGCAGGGGTGTCAAACTCGCCACATCACGTGACCGGTCACGACGTATTGCAACTTTTTTTTGTCATTGCTGGCAATGGGGTAGGTGCGGTTTTGCCATGACGCATCCGGCCTGTGGACCGGCAGTTTGACACCCCTGGTTTAGGGGGGACTATTTAAGTGAGAACTCAGAATGTTGTAGAGAGGAGGCAGAATGAGAAACACAAGTTTGTAAATTTCCTTCACATTGCCTTAGCTTAGGAGGCAGGGCTAAATCTTTAATTCAGATGCTCGCTGGATATAGTATATCAACCCTAATCACTGTTTTTGAGTTGAGCAGTCCAGAAGGCTATTGACATAGGACAAAAAATGACCTTGATGAGAATTCATTATGATCAGGTAGACAAGGAATCGATTCCTGAAAAATCAACAGAGTTGTTTTCCCATTTCACATGAGACCAGAACCTCATTTTGAATCTTCTTTTGTTGTGTTTGTTTACAAGGTAATTGTCATGATCTATAGAGTAAATCAAGCCAAGTCAACTTATATCAAATGTTTAATATGGTCGTAGACCAGCGCAGTTCTATAGATAGGTTTTCTGCCCAAATTATGGTGTGTGGTTGTGTACCATCTTGCAGAACACATATTTTGCTGTTCCAATGATCACTACTATAAAATCTAGGCTTGATATTGTGATATTTTGAAGGACTGCACTTGAAATGTTGATTATCTGAATGCCACGAAATAGAATACAAAAATGCTTTAAAACGAAGATAGTAAAACCTTGGGTTTACAGTTCCCCATTTAAATGCAAGCAACACATTTTTAATTAGGATTTCATCCTCAAATAACAACATGAATTATATCCGATGCAGTCTGGACAATTGACTTAATTTATATTGTTTGCCTCAGTCGATGCAAATGATGCAAATTAATGCGAATGATACAATTACATCAATTGTGTCACTCATTGTGACAATGTACTTCAATTATGTAATTATGCAAATGCTGCAATTTACTTCAAGTTGCCTGTGGAAAGGAACCGATGTATCTCAGGAGCATTCTATCTCGATCTCCTAAAAGCTGCCTATTTCTATCCACCTTCCATTGTCATCTCTTGGTGAATGTATGGCGTTTTCATTGCCATAACTACATTCTTACAAAATACTTTCAGCGTTCAACCGCTAACGCAATCAGAACTCTTTGGTAGTTTTGTTGCCCTCACAATAATTGTTTCTAAGTTGTCTTTGGACGTTAAAGATCTCTGCCTCCTTTCTCTGTGGGCCAGGAAGGCCTCAACATTGTCACAGCTGTGACCAAAGTCACCTAGTGTCCGAAGTTGTGTTCTGTACAAATTCTCTAACAGAAGATTCTGCCCTTCTCTCCAACAATTTTCCTTGGAGGAATAGATGGGCAAGAAGGATTTTGATATTTCCACAACACAGTTTATGATGCAAAGTTGGTTGCAGTCTGGGCAAAACTGGGATGTTTGTGAGCTAATTCTAACTTTCTAGGAGGGTTAAGTAATTGGATCAATGCTGTTTTCACAATATTATAATGTTCTATTGATCCAATTAAGAATATTGTGTGAACAGGGCTACTATGTGCAATTTCATCAAGCTTCAGAAGTATTGCAGAGAAAGTAAGATGGCGGTATGGGGTCTTTGGTGGTCTGTGACCTTGGTTGTCTCCTTGCAGATGTTTCATTACCAGACTAGGTAACATCATCAGTGCTAGAAGGGAGTTAACACTGAAGATGTTACCTACTCTGGTAATGAAACGTCTGCAAGGAAAGAACCAAACTCAAAGAGCACCAAGGACTCTACAGTTCAACCCTGAGCTACACATATTGCCTTCTACAAGATGGTGGTAATCCAACAGTTCTTGCTTCCTCTCCACCTGGCACCACTGCTTCTTCTTTACCGTCTTTGCTTCTCTACCTGAAGCTGGCATTTGCTTCTGTGGGGAGGACAAACAAGGTGGTTGATGGTGCCAATGAAAGGCAACCTCGACAAGGCCCTTTCCGATCTGGTAGCGATTCACAGTGAATTACAAACAAAAGCGGCCGTTCCTTAAAAACCGTCATTCAGATTTGCCTTCTTCGTCCTTTTCTTTATGACAATGAACTCCCCCCCCCTTTTTTTTAAAATTTTCCAGTGGAGCTACAATAGCACTGTTGACTGACATCTTTCAGGGACTTCTTGAAAAGTTGTATTGTCTTCATATTCTGTGATAGCTTTCTCATTTCTGTTGCATGGTAGTTCTGAACCGCTAAATAAATACCTGGTTATGAGGCAAGATATAAATACAGCCTGAAAAAGTATAATAAATTGGAGGGACAAAAAGGCTCTCCTAAAATTATTGCCCCTTAAAGTTAAGGATTAAGTAAAAGGATTTTTATTTTATAACAGAGACCTGGAGGCCTAACCTAGAGAAGACTGTCTGTCTGTCTGTCTGTCTATCATCTATCTATCTATCTATCTATCTATCTATCTATCTATCTATCTATCTATCTATCTATCTATCTATCTATCTATCATCTATCTATCTATCATCTATCTATCTATCATCTATCATCTATCACCTATTTATCTCTCTCTCTCTCTCTCTCTCTCTCTCTCTCTCTCTCTCTGTATGTCTTTCTGTTTGTCTGTCCATCTGTTTATCTTTCTTGGTGTGTTTGTGTGTGTCTATAAGCAAGCAAGCACTAACAGCTGATACCCAACTGAGTGAGGAGAAAGGAAGGCTTCCATGAAAGAGGTGAACTGGGCATCCCAGCTGGACTTACTGTACTCAGTTCCTGTCATCTGAGCAAGGACTCGGAAGGACTTTGACTGCAAGTTGGAAGATCGACGGCTCCAATCATCCAGCTCATCTTCAGACTTGTTTTGCGTTTTAAGCACAGCCTGATAGACTGGAGAGGCACTGTCTACATGAGGGTCTTTAACAGGAAGGTTACTGCAATGCAGAAAGTAACATGCACTGTAACATGGCTAATGAGATCGGGCCCGCCCTCCCCCAACATCCTGGCTGACGTTTAGCCTCAGATCCACAATTTCTTCTTCTTAGCCACAGAAATGAAGTACTTATTCATGAAACAAGCAGATACAAGGAAGCCATGATGCAAAGTTGCCTTTCTCTTCACAGGAAGGGTGGAGACTATCGTTATCTAGATTCTAGAACACGTATCACACAAAGAGAAGTGATCTGGATAGGACACCTCTTCACCACATCGGACAAGTACAATTTACCCGTTCATTTACCCATTCTGAAATATTTCAACCATCATAGCAATTCAGAGAATGGCATAGGATTACTCAAAGTTCTAGGAAGCTGCTGATCTGTTCCCACTACTTAGACAATGACTGAGTTAAAAATTGGAACTTTTCCAGGATGTAGAAGCCTTTTTACCAAGAGAATGCTGCCAAGACTTTACAATCTCATCAGCTCCCTCCTCACTGGCACCGCTTGGAGTAGGAAGCGTGATTTGAATACTGCATCTGATGAGTGTTTGAGAGGCCTTGACAATGATTTCTATAATGAAAAGGCTTTCTGTGTTGGGTTAAGACTACTCTTCTCTTCTTGGTTTGTAGTGTCCCTACAAAATGCTTACCCCATCATGGATCCAATTAAGTATGTTGTCTGGATAGGACTTCCATCCTATCCAGGTTTCAGGATTTGCAGACCAGCAGAGATCACAATGTGAAGCCACATCTATGTAGGATACCCTTATGTGAAACTATCACCAGCACATGATCCTAAGAGGTTGAATAGAGTTATATTGAGTGGACTTCCTAGGGCTACATCTTTATGGTTGCTTCATGGACTAGGCATGGAGATTGAGATTCAATGCCACCTTTCATTTCATAATTCCCACTGCCCTTCATGATCTTTGTTCTCCATGGACAATAACACGCTTCTTCTGCCACCTCCCCAATATATAGTAGTCTCCCACTACAACTGAACAATTGATCAGATATGCGCCAAAAGTCAATCCGCTACTTCTGAAATCCATAGCAAAAGCCATAGGGAGGTTGGTCAAGGTCCATGTTGGCTAGAAATTATAGCAGCTTAAATGTAACACTTAGAAATCACAGAGGTGAGAGAACAATTAAACAATTTGAAAAACTATTCTCAATAGTAGTATTTGCACCAAGAAAGTGTCATCAACCCACCCATGACAGTCTCAGGATGACACACTGAATGACTTGAAGGAAAGGATAATTTTCAATTTGCATCATCAAAACAGTGCAATGTTCACAAGAAAAGGATTAGGTGAATGAAAAATGCCATCAAGCAAACCTGATAGAATAAGAACGTTGGTGAATCCTACAGATGTTGGTGAAGCCTCATAAACTGCAGTCAAGTCAGTCAATTGGTTGATGGGAATCGTATCATAGTTCAACAACATCTGGAGAGTCAGAGGTCTTCTCATCACATGCCTGGCTGGAGCTATCACACGTATCTCATCTAGCGTTCTGTTTCTAACAGTGGCCAAGCCAAATGTCTGTTGAAGCTCCCAAGCAGATAATGATGATGACAGAATTCGCCATATCATTTCTCGGCATCACAAAGCCTTGCGAAATATTGGCTCTGAACAATGGTCCTTCTTTGCTCCATGCATTTATCTAATCTGCCTCTAAACATGTCCTCACCTTGGGTTAACAAACATCGAAGTTCTCCTCAAGAGAACTTTGCTTTGTTTATTACTGGCTGTTGTTTTCTTAAGAGAATAATAGCCAACAATAGCTGTCAGATAGTTCCCCATATTAACGATATCACTGACAGTTGATTACTTCAACTAGAGAGTTAATAATATCAGAGGTTACATAGGAGGGGGGAAAGTCCATATACCTGATGCAAATAGTAGAATATATTTTAGAATACTGATTTTATGTGGGCTAGCACCAGAACATAAATTAATACACTGCATTAAATGTTCCAAAGGGGCTTTTTCAAGAGGCAACTGGACTTTCTTGTTTTTCTTTGAAGACGTTTTGCTTCTCATCCAAGAAGCTTCTTCAACTCTGCCTGGATGGTGGGGAATGGAAGGGTTAGTCAGAGCTGAAGAAGCTTCTTGGATGAGAAGCAAAACATCTTCAAAGAAAAACAAGAAAGTCCAGTTGACTCCTGAAAAAGCATCTTTGGGGCAGCCATGACCTGGATGACCGAGAATCTCCACAGAGGGATATTTAATGCAGTGTGTTAAGCTATGTCCTGGTGCTACACACATAAAACCTATTAAGATTGACAGAAAACAACAAAGCCTAAATGGAATTGGAATCAACTGAATCGGTGAACATAAATCTTTCATAGGAGACATGGACACTACAGTTGCCCAAGCAGGCCTGCAAAGGGAAGCTGTGAATTTAGAAGGGAAAAGGAAAAAATGCATTTCTTGTGCAGCACAATATGAAAGGAGAAGATGCTAATAAAAAAAAACCAGCCAGCTCAACAAATGAAAACAAGAAAAAGAAAGAAAGCACACAAAAGAAAAGCAAACCGTATCGATGGTTGGAATGGAGGACAAACTATATTTAGTAATATCCGTGAAAATCCACCACTGCTGCAGGCATCCTAAAATATCTCTCTCTCTCTCTCTCTCTCTCTCTCTCTCTCTCTCTCTCTCTCTCTCTCTCTCTCTCTCTCTCTCTCTCTCTCTTACACACACACACACACACACACAGAGACACACACACACACACACACACACAAAGAGAGAGAGATACACACAGAGAGCTACACTTACACAGTCATATCATTGCATTCTGGGCACTTGACAACCAGCTCACATTTACAACTGGTTGCAGCATCCTGTGGTCACGTGACCATGATGTGCATCTTTTTAAGCCAGTTTCCAATGTTTTGTTTTTTGTTTTTTGCCAATTACTGGCAAAAAACCCCAAGCCCATTCCGGAGAATGGATTTGGAGTTACAACCCTGTAATTTATTTAATGACCACTGCAAAAATGGTCGTAAAATTGGGTCCAGACATGTGAGTACCTTGACTTAGGACCGTCACGGTTAACCCTAACCCAAAGTGACAAAAACAGGATGTTACATTGTATTAGACTCTGATGAAATTATAATTTCCTTCGTTTCGGTTAGTGATGGAGTTTGCGTGTTTAATTCCTCTAAAATAAACAAGCACGGAGAGAAGTGGATGATAAAAAAACAATAGGAGGAAAATAGCCTTGCATTCTACAGAGGTGGAGAAATGCGTGTAGTATTTATGCCAGTGGGGATTCAATGAGTCATGTGTTCCAAACTCAGAGAAGAACCAGGAGTGATTGGGGTCCATAATTACATGACGTTGGGAGAAGCAATACGAATTAGTATGAGAAATAAAGTGAAAACGCAAAGGAATGTGTCAGAGAGGAGAAAAAAAGAAGAAAAGAAATGGTTACCGGTGAAAAAGGAGAGTAAGGGAGTAAATGAACACTTCGCAACTGAAATAAGCTGGCTAGACATATTATTATAATAGGTGCAAGAGCCATGTTGACTCTGGAGTCTCCAAAGATTTCTCATGTATGCATAAAATAAAGGCAAGAGAAGTGGTGTATGCAAAAATAGTACTAATTAGTGCCAATGGTGCTTTTCCAAAAGGCAACTTTGGACTTTGTTTTTCCTTGAAGACATTTTGCTTCTCACCCAAGACGTTTCTTCACTTCTTCACTTCTTCATTTCAGCAGAGCGGAAGAAGCTTCTTGGATGAGAAGCAAAATTCTTCAAAGCAAAACAAAGTCCATTGTCCTTTTTAAAAAGCACCTTTGGATCAGCCACGACCTGGACGACTGACAGTCTCCACAGACATTCGTACTAATGAGAACTCTGCTTTCAGAACCAGAATTATACAGTTAAGAACAATAACCCAACCCATTCAAACAATTGTTCATTATTTTTGGGGGGGCAAAAATGCCATTGATGCTACATATTAACCCAGGATTAATTGATATTAGCAATATTAATATAGATATTAACAATATCATGGGCGTGAAGCCATGAATGGGAGAGGCACTGCCATCCCAGTTCGGTTCTTATGATTTGCCTTGGATTTGTGCTCCAGTTCTGAGACACAAATGGTCCCTGATTTAAATAATTTTGCTGTCAAGGACAACAGCAAATCTGCCGATAGCTGTTTGCATGCAAATGCTGTGCGCGAAGAATACATGGTGGGGAATGCAATGCCGGAGTTGATTCCATCACTTAGAATGATGTTCCTTTCCATGTAAGTTAAGAGACAAATTGACTTTGTACTACGGAGGAGAAACCCTGGAGAATAGGCCTCTGAATTCATACACAGCCAATGTGCATTTGCATCTATATAGACAGGCAGATATCTTTCTTTGACTCAAGCATTGTGAAATCTTGAGCAAAACTAATTACAATGTTCTACTCGGAATCAAGTTCTAAATATATACATATCCTTTGTCCCAAATTACAGAGATTGCTACAGGTTTTTTTTCTTCTTCAAAAACCCTCACTTAGAGAAATATTCATGCTTCCGATTGTCCTTGAAATGAAAATGTTCACAGAAGCAACATTAGCATTTGGTACTAAAATCGTTTCCCAAGGGCTGCATAATATCAACATTTGTGCTAAAACAGGACAAAAGGAAACAGTGACTAGGAAGCTTCTCATCCTCAAAGACACCAGAGGCATCTCTTCCTATTCCACATTGGTTGCAAGATGCACACCTTTTTAAAATGGAAAGAAATAATAAAGTTATACCATTGCGCAATCATTGTTTCTGGCTATCCTCCTTTCTCCATGTCAAAAGTGAGAGGGAGGTCACATGAAAGGAAGCTATCAAAGATACACAAAGTAGGTGCAGAGAAGAATGGGTGGGTGGGTGGGTGGGTAGGTGGATGGATGGAACAATGGATGGAAGAATGGATGAATAGATGAAAGGATGGGTGAATGGAAGGATGGATGAATGGATAGATCTAAATATAGATGTATGGATGGGAGGATGGATGGAAGAATGGATGGATAGATGAAATGAGAGTGAATGGAAGGATGGATGAATGAATAGATGTAAGGATGGATGGATGGATGGATGGATGGATCAAAGGATTGGTGAATGGATAGATGGGTGAATGGATGGATGGAAGGATGGATGAATAGAAGGAAGGATGGATAAATGGAAGGATGAATGAATGGATGGAGATATCTAGAAAGGCAATGAAGTGAAATGGTGGAGATTTTCTTCCCATGAGTACTGGATAGCCATCCCAATTAGAGAATAAATTTCAAGATAAGCTATTAAAAAAGCTACCAAAGAAAGCACATGTGCACAGTGTGTCTAAAATGTAAAATAAGCAAATCTGTTCATTTCATTGGAATACCACAAAAACATTCTTTGCTTTCCCATAAAGCTTTAACTGTCAATAACACTAGCTTTTATCTACCTTTAAATTTTAAATGCACATAAGAGTTGGTTTAATGACTGAGTTTGTTAATAGACTGGTAAAATAAATAAACAGATATGATAGGGTAAGACTCCAATCTTTGGCATTTGTAGTCCACAGAAGGATTTTTTTTTAAAGCTTTTAGTATAACAATTGTATCAGAATGCCAGAGGAGATTTTATGGCTGGTTCTTGGCTGTTTCACTCTTACCTTACTTATGGGGACATTTTTATTGTTTTATATTTTAGGTTGTATAGCGGATGTTTATCTTTACATTACCCAGGGGAAATTTTAATTGTTCCCACAATGCCACCGTGTGTCTGCTCAGATTTGGCCGGGGACAAATCCAATAAATGAAAGAATATGTTATCAGAAAAATGGGAGGCAGAAGAAATTTATAACAAGGGAAGACAAAGGAGGCAGAACATTATTTTTATGCCATGGCTCAGTCTCTGTCTTTTTAACTATTTCTCCAACTCTACTGAATACAGAACATAGAATAATAAGGGTTGGAAGAGTCCTTAGATGTCATCTAGTTCAACCACCTGCCCATGGCAGGAGACCTTATACCATTCTGGGGCAAATGGTTTCCCAATCTCTTCTTGAAAACCTCCATTGATGGAGCACCCACAACTTCTGAAGGCAAGCCATTCCACTGGTTAATTGTTCTCACTATCAGAAAAATTCTCCTTAGTTCTAGGTTGCTTCTCTCTTTGATAAGATGGAAACATATCCATCAATTACTTCTTTCCAGCCCTCACGTGCTTTGTAGAACAAGTCAATCTCTTCTTCTCTCTGGCAGCCCTTCAAATATTGCAAGACTGTTCTCGTGTCACCCCTAATCCTTCTCTTTTGCGTACCTTTAGAAAGACTGAGCGATGAGCCCACTGCCCTGCTGGTGTGGCTTTAGGAGAATATTTCAGAACGTCGGTGTTAGAGGAAGGGATGGAACAAGTAGGGCAGTGGTTCTCAACCTGTAGGTTGGGACCCCATTTGGGGTCGATCGACCATTTCATGGGGGTCGCCAAGCAAGGCTGTCCGCCATTTTCTTTGTCCGCCATCTTTTTTGTCCGCCATTTTTTTCCCCTTTTCCGGCGGGTGCCTTACCTCCCTTGGGCTGGGCCAGCTAGTGGTCGGCCTGCTCCGTCTCTGCCGCTTGCCAGCTATGCCTCGACCGGTGCAGGGGGCGGAACCACGCATGCGCGGCGCTCCCAGGCAGGGAAAGTCCTCGACTTACGACCGGTTGGGTAGTCCTCAACTTACAACCGGTTTAGTCCTTGACTTACAACCGGTTTAGTCCTCGACTTACGACCGGTTGGGGTCGCGGCATTAAAAAGGTTGAGAACCACTGAAGTAGGGTATCTTGCAAAACATCTGGAGATGCTTTCAAAGGGTTTCCTGACCCATGACGGTAGCAGCCAACTTGCTCCATCAACTCATCCCTCCTCTGAGATCCAAAGAGTTGCGTGGAATACCAAGAGGGAGGGAAGACTTGTAAACACACACAGCATGCACACATAGAAAGATCTTACCCAGCAAATTCACCACCTTGGGCCTGGGCTTGGCCTGCAATGGCATCCATGATAGCATCTTGAGAATACATGCTGATGGGGGTGTTGTATTGGGCATGAATGATGGTGGCTTTTCCCCCGGGGCCTTTCACCTCGATGGGTTTGTGCGTGGACAGAGCGGAATCCTTCAGGACGTTGGGGTTGAAACGTTCCATGTACTCCGGGCTGGGATGGAGGAAGTGAGGAATCGGGAAGTGCGGGAGACAAAGAAGGAAGGATGAAAAAGATTAAGGATGGGGGGAAAGAAAAGATTTAGGAGCAGAGGGGAATATTTTCACACCCGCACCCACAAATACACACACAGTGCTTTGGGTTTGATCGCAGGCAAGAAGAGTAGCATTCAACAAGCAGCAAAGAGTAAGCACACAACTTTTCTTGGAAATTTGTCTGATGCTTTTCTAACTGAAAGATAAAAAAATAATGAGTGACTGATGCAGCCGGGAAGCACCTTTGTGAATTATCTGCTGTAATTTAATCCAGGTTAGAAGGCGCATCTCTGCTGGCCCAGGAATAACAAAATGATCTAGAATAGAATAGAATAGAATAGAATAGAATAGAATAGAATAGAATAGAATAGAACAGAGTAGAGTAGAGTAGAGTAGAGTAGAGTAGAGTAGAGTAGAGTAGAGTAGAGTAGAGTAGAGTAGAGTAGAATAGAACACAGCTGGAAGGGATCTTGGAGGTCTTCTAGTCTAGCCCCCTGCTCAAGCAGGAAAACCTATACCATCTCAGACAAGTGATTGTCCAGTCTCTTCTTAAAAACCTCCAGTGATGGAATGCCCACGATTTCTGGAGGCAAGCTGTTCCACTGGTTAATTGTCCTCACTATTAAGAAGTTTCTCATTAATTCCAGGTTGCTTCTCTCTTTGATCAGTTTCCAACCGTTGTTTCTCATCCTTCCCTCTGGAGAATAGTTTGATGCCCTCTTCTTTGTGGCAGCCCTTCAGATACTGGAATACTGCTATCATGTCGCTCCTATTTCTTCTTTTCTTAGACTAGCCAAACCCAAGTCCTGTAGCCGTTCTTCGTATGTTTTAGTCTCCAAGCCTTGGATCATCTTAGTTGCTCTTCTCTGAACTTTTTCCTAACTCTCAACATCTTTTTTGTAGTATGGTGAACAAAATTGGTTGCAGCATTCCAGGTGTGGTCTCACTAGGATTTTATAAAGTGGTACTAATACTACTAATCTGGAGAGCCAAATGAGTCAATTTGAAACTTCTTCTATAGCTTTTCTTGGACGTGGTGGATATTTTTGTAGCTTTCTTCAAAGCTATCTCAAGACTCTTGCACAAGTAGTAAATTTAGCATGCAGTCATTAAATGGCCCTTTATATAATGTATCTAGCCTAAGATCCATTAGACGGCAGCAGAGAGAAGCAGAAAACTCTTTATGGCCAACTAGTGACCATTGCAGGGTTTTGCATCTTAATTCTGATATTCCTACTGACGGATTATAGTGGATTGACTTTTCTTCTCACGAAATTTCAAAACTTAGAAGTTTTGTCTCAATAGATTGGCATTTAGTAAGACTCTCTGAGGCCCGCCATTCAGAAATGCTCAAATACAAACGGCAGCAATGTGTATAAATGAAGCCACTGGGTTTTTATGGACTTAGAGCCATAGGATAAGAGAAACAGCACCGATGTTTGTCTTCTTCGGAGCTTCCAAAGGGTGGGAAGTCTTTCAGGACACATCTTTGCTCAGCAGAAGGAGGCCTTTATAAGGGGAGCATCATGACTCCAAAAACAACGCATGCACTTCAGGAGAAACAACACCCAAGGCAAGAACCTCAACATGCACTGAGGTCTAAAGCACCACATGTACAGAAACACCTTGATTGGAGCCAAAGCAGGTCAGCCTCCTCACAACGCAACTCACAAACTGAAGCACCACACTCTGCCACAGACACTGATTTTTACAGCCATTACAAGCCCCCTTTGATTAGTTTGCCCCCCTTTTTTCTGCCCAGACGCATGGGAAGAATTTGAAGTCATTGACTCCCATAGAGGTAGGATGGCAACCGATGACCATCCAGCTTTGGTTTTTGTAGTCTTCTGCTAAAAATTGACCACAGAGCTTTGCTCCCTTTGGGGGGAAAAGAAAACCCGTGACATTTATCTTGAAGTTATAAAAAACTCTGGGTCATACAAAAAAAACCCCAAAGAAATGTTCCCCATGCTTCTCTCCACACCAGCTTTACTCACTACTGTGGTTTCTGGTGTCCTTAGTGAGGCTCTTGGTCATGAAAGATTCGTAAGAGTTGCAGAGGAAATTTTCACGTAGAGATGATTGTTTCATAGATCAGTGGTTCTCAACCTTTTTAATGTCGCGACCCCAACCGGTCGTAAGTCGAGGACTAAACCGGTCATAAGTCGAGGACTAAACCGGTCGTAAGTCGAGGACTAAACCGGCCGTAAGTCGAGGACTACCCAACCGTCGTAAGTCGAGGACTTTCCCTGCCTGGGAGCGCCGCGCATGCGTGGTTCCGCCCCCTGCGCCAGCCGAGGCGTAGCTGGCAAGCAGCAGAGATGGAGCAGGCCGACCACCAGCTGGCCCAGCCCAAGGGAGGTAAGGCACCCGCCGGAAAACAGGGAAAAAAATGGCGGACAAAAAAAATGGTGGACAAAAAAAATGGCGGACAGCCTTGCTTGGCGACCCCCATGAAATGGTCAATCGACCCCAAATGGGGTCCCGACCCACAGGTTGAGAACCACTGTCATAGATCATCCAACCTTGGAGCCAATGGAGATACCCTCACCCAGAATGTTCTTCTGGAAACATGCTTTGCATGAAAAAGGCCCTTCCAGACAAAGGAATACATTTGCAATAAATTCTGCCCAACGTGTCTCCCAAATTTGGTTTATTCTTGGAACAGACTCTGGGGGAATGCCCTTCTGACATGATGCTGGACACCCCAATAAACTGTTAAAGAACATTCCACTTGCAAGCAGATAGAACAGGGAGCACAAGGAACCAGAACATGCTGTCCCAAGAAAATGGACACCGCCAAGCATTTAACACTGACACACTCTTGAATACTAACTTGCTCACGGGATTGGTTATGACCTAGAGGAAAGGGAAAAAAAAAGAAGATCAGACCAGCAGTTTCCCACATGTTTCTTTTAACCAGAAGAGATAAAGAAGTATTAAGCAGGCATCTAAGTCAAAGAAAGAAAGAAAGAAAGAAAGAAAGAAAGAAAGAAAGAAAGAAAGAAAGAAAGAAAGAAAGAAAGAAAGAAAGAAAAAAAGAAAGAAAGAAAGAAAGAAAGAGAGGAAGGAAGGAAGGAAGGAAGGAAGGAAGGAAGGAAGGAAAGAAAGAAAGATAAAGGAAGGAAGAAAAACAGAGAGAGAGAGAGAGAGAGAGAGAGAGAGAGAGAAAGAAAGAAAGAAAGAAAGAAAGAGGAANGAATCCTTCAGGACGTTGGGGTTGAAACGTTCCATGTACTCCGGGCTGGGATGGAGGAAGTGAGGAATCGGGAAGTGCGGGAGACAAAGAAGGAAGGATGAAAAAGATTAAGGATGGGGGGAAAGAAAAGATTTAGGAGCAGAGGGGAATATTTTCACACCCGCACCCACAAATACACACACAGTGCTTTGGGTTTGATTGCAGGCAAGAAGAGTAGCATTCAACAAGCAGCAAAGAGTAAGCACACAACTTTTCTCGGAAATTTGTCTGATGCTTTTCTAACTGAAAGATAAAAAAATAATGAGTGACTGATGCAGCCGGGAAGCACCTTTGTGAATTATCTGCTGTAATTTAATCCAGGTTAAAAGGTGCATCTCTGCTGGCCCAGGAATAACAAAATGATCTAGAATAGAATAGAATAGAATAGAATAGAATAGAATAGAATAGAATAGAATAGAATAGAATAGAATAGAATAGAGTAGAGTAGAGTAGAGTAGAGTAGAGTAGAGTAGAGTAGAGTAGAGTAGAGTAGAGTAGAGCACAGCTGGAAGGGATCTTGGAGGTCTTCTAGTCTAGCCCCCTGCTCAAGCAGGAAAACCTATACCATCTCAGACAAGTGATTGTCCAGTCTCTTCTTAAAAACCTCCAGTGATGGAGCGCCCACGATTTCTGGAGGCAAGCTGTTCCACTGGTTAATTGTCCTCACTATTAAGAAGTTTCTCCTTAATTCCAGGTTGCTTCTCTCTTTGATCAGTTTCCCACCGTTGTTTCTTGTCCTGCTCTCTGGTGCTCTGGAGAATAGTTTGATGCCCTCTTCTTTGTGGCAGCCTCTCAAATACTGGAATACTGCTATCATGTTGCCCCTATTTCTTCTTTTCTTAGACTAGCCAAACCCAAGTCCTGCAGCCGTTCTTCGTATGTTTTAGTCTCCAAGCCTTGGATCATCTTAGTTGCTCTTCTCTGAGCTTTTTCCTAACTCTCAACATCTTTTTTGTAGTATGGTGAACAAAATTGGTTGCAGCATTCCAGGTGTGATCTCACTAGGATTTTATAAAGCGGTACTAATACTACTAATCTGGAGAGCCAAGTGAGTGAATTTGGAACTTCTTCTACAGCTTTTCTTGGACGTGGTAGATATTTTTGTAGCACCTTATTTTCTTCAAAGCTCTCTCAAGACTCTTGTACAAGTAGTAAACTTAGCATGCAGTCATTAAATGGCCCTCTATATAATGTATCTAGCCTAAGATCCAGTAGATGGCAGCAGAGAGAAGCAGAAAACTCTTTATGGCCAACTAGTGACCTTTGCAGGGTTTTGCATCTTAATTCTGATATTCCTACTGACCGACTATAGTGGATTGACTTTTCTTCATGTGAAATTTCAAAAATTAGAAGTTTTGTCTCAATAGATTGGCATTTAGCAAGACTCTCTGAGGCCCGCCATTCAGAAATGCTCAAATACAAACGGCAGCAATGTGTATAAATGAAGCCACTGGGTTTTTATGGACTTAGAGCCATAGGATAAGAGAAAAGGATGTTTGTCTTCTTCGGAGCTTCCAAAGGGTGGGAAGTCTTTCAGGACACATCTTTGCTCTGCAGAAGGAGGCCTTTATAAGGGGAGCATCATGACTCCAAAAACAACGCATGCACTTCAGGAGAAACAACACCCAAGGCAAGAACCTCAACATGCATTGAGGTCTAAAGCACCACATGTACAGAAACACCTTGATTGGAGCCAAAGCAGGTCAGCCTCCTCACAACGCAACTCACAAACTGAAGCACCACACTCTGCCACAGACACTGATTTTTACAGCCATTACAAGCCCCCTTTGATTAGTTTGCCCCCCTTTTTTCTGCCCAGACGCATGGGAAGAATTTGAAGTCATTGACTCCCATAGAGGTAGGATAGCAACCGATGACCATCCAGCTTTGGTTTTGTAGCCTTCTGCTAAAAATTGACCACAGAGCTTTCCTCCCTTTGGGAGAAAAAGAAAACCCATGACATTTATCTTAAAGTTCTAAAAAAAACCTCTGCATCATACAAAAAACAACAACAAAGAAATGTTCCCCATGCTCATCTCCACACCAGCTTTACTCACTACTGTGGGTTCTTGGTCATGAAAGATTCGTAAGAGTTGCACAGAAAATTTTCATGTAGAGATGATTGTTTCATAGATCATCAAACCTTGGAGCCAATGTAGATACCCTCACCCAGAATGTTCTTCTGGAAACATGCTTTGGATGAAAAAGGCCCTTCCAGACAAAGGAATACATTTGCAATAAATTCTGCCCAACGTGTCTCTCAAATTTGGTTTATTCTTGGAACAGACTCTGGGGGAATGCCCTTCTGACATGATGCTGGACACCCCAATCAACTGTTAAAGAACATTCCACTTGCAAGCAGATAGAACAGGGAGCACAAGGAACCAGAACATGCTGTCCCAAGAAAATGGACATCGCCAAGCATTTAACACTGACACACTCTTGAATACTAACTTGCTCACGGGATTGGTTATGACCTAGAGGAAAGGGAAAAAAAAGAAGATCAGACCAGTAGTTTCCCACATGTTTATTTTAACCAGAAGAGATAAAGAAGTATTAAGCAGGCATCTAAGTCAAAGAAAGAAAGAAAGAAAGAAAGAAAGAAAGAAAGAAAGAAAGAAAGAAAGAAAGAAAGAAAGAAAGAAAGAAAGAAAGATAGATAGATAGATAGAGGAAGGAAGAAAAACAGAGAGAGAGAGAGAGAGAGAGAGAGAGAAAGAAATGAAAGAAACAGAGAGAAAGAGGAATGAAGGAAGGAAGAGAAAGAAAGAAAGAAAGAAGGAAGGAAGGAAGGAAGGAAGGAAGGAAGGAAAGAAAGATAAAGGAAGGAAGAAAAACAGAGAGAGAGAGAAAGAAAGAAAGAAAGAAAGAAAGAGGAAATGAAAGAAACAGAGAGAAAGAGGAAGGAAGGAAGGAAGGAAGGAAGAGAAAGAAAGAAAGAAAGAAAGAAAGAGGAAATGCAAGAAACAGAGAGAAAGAGGAAGGAAGGAAGGAAGGAAGAGAAAGAAAGAAAGAAAGAAAGAAGGGAGGGAGGGAGGAAGGAAGGAAGGAAGGAAGGAAGGAAGGAAGGAAGGAAGGAAGGAAGGAAGGAAAGAAAGATAAAGGAAGGAAGTAAGAAAAACAGAGAGAGAGAGAGAGAAATAAATAAAAAGGAAATGAAAGAAACAGAGAGAAAGAGGAAGGAAGGAAGGAAGGAAGGAAGGAAGAGAAAGAAAGAAAGAAAGAAAGAAAGAAAGAACAATGTGATGAAGAGAAGGAAATATAGGCACCAAGGGTTAGCCACTTGAATTTGTGGAGTTGCAATGTTTGGCCCAAACCTGTGCATCGCTAGACAGACTGCTATCTTTGATATGAAATGGTCTCTGAAAATAGTGCATGATTCAAAGCAATGAAAGTACTAAATATTCTGAGTATGCTTTCTCAAGCCACTACACTTTCCTATAAATGGACTAAAACTAGCTGAAAACGCAACTAGTTTACGCAAGAGCAACTCTTTGGTCAAAGCTCCAGAGATCTGCCCCACAACATAGCGAATCATAGAGGAAGCTTAGGAGACACACAGGTCTCCTGTTAACCTCCATGGTTGAAATCAATTGAATACAGATGTGGTGGGGAGTGAAATTTGTTCTTCCTTCCAGATACCAGATTTGCTTGGTCTAGAAATCCCAGTTATACCCACAGATTTCTCCCTTGTAAATAAAGGACAGGCTCCAATCTTATGGGGGAAAGTATAGATATGTGCTGTCAAGTGCAAAGAATCAGGACCACCTGTTAGATTGCAGCACAGATTTATTCTGTACACAACAATCTGGTCAATTAAAGTTCAATACTCAACTGGCACCAGACAAAGGTCAACGGAATTCAGAAGGGGTTGGACTTGGACCATTTGCGGTGACGTAACAACTCTAAGCTTATAACATGCTTAACTCAGCCCCCTAGTTCTGCCTCCTCTTCTTTTATGTGGGCCTTCATATTCCATATTTCAAAATGGGAACTAGCTGTGTCCTCTCTCCTTGTGAACGGGAGAGTTAGTCTCCTGAAAGAAGAGTTTAAAGCTTTCCTTGGGTCAAGATCAACTTCTAGTGACTTCATGGAAACATCTAACCACGGCAACAGCATAAAAACTGGCTTGCTGTGGCTTTCTTCCAAATGTCTGTTTTTAACCTTCCAATACAATCCGAGATTTCCCACCCAAGTGCTGATCATGGCTGACTCTGCTTAGCTTCATCAAACTCAACCAAGATGGATGGGGTGCTGCATTAGATGTGACAGATGCATGTGCTAAATTGGTGTCTACAATCATGGCTTGGAGGAACATGAAAATAAAGAGGGACCATTGCTTTTCTCCAAACATCTCTCGCTTACAACTCTACTGATAACATTTTTTTTTTGTTTAGAAATATCAAAACTCGCCACTGCCAAAAGATTTCAAACCTCTGACTTAATCTTCTGATACCTTTAACCCTTCAACCCTTAAATAACCATTATAACTTTTATATATAGCATTTTAGAGGACTTTACAACAATGCTAAATCAATACAATCAGAAAATGAGTTGGTCTAAACAACCATCAGTATAAGAACAGCTTTAAAATAGAATGCATGGTATTAAAAGTTGTTGAAATAAACTTCTGCCCTTCTTCTATCTAACTTAAGGAAATCAAAGCAAGACTATCTTGGAGCTTTACAAGATAAGACAGGTTCTTCAGACTGAACCTTGAAATGAATGTGCGGTCAGTTCAGTGGAAACAAGATCAGAGCTGACCACCGTTTGCTAATCTAAAGGATGCCAGCCATACCTTCAGCTATGTGAGGGTTAGGAGTTATTTTTAATTGCCGGTCTACAAGAGAACATTGGGAGAAATTCTGATTCATTTGTATTTGTTCTATCTTCTTTAAACATTAAGCTACAGGTTTAACCTAGGGACCTTAAGGACGGGGATGGGTTAAAAGAAATATTAATATATGTTAAAGAATATTAACACACATTCAAAGAGACGCTTAGCTCTTTGGTTCTTCAAGTCAAATGTGCAGATCCACAATCCAGATCAAGATAAGTAGCAGTAGGACAATAGGATTAAATATCTCCCCTTATTTCTTGCTGCTTAATTTATGCCAGTAGCTCTTTCTTTACATGCACAGAGGTTTCTATTCTATTTTATGTTTAGAAGTTAAAGATCCACCATGGAGGAACGATGTAAATTAACCTTAAGAGGTGACAAATGTGCAAATCCACTGATTAATTGTTCTAACTGTCAGGAAGTTTCTCCTTAGTTCTGACATTACTGTGACAATGATTGAACCATTGGGCGTCCTGATAGAACTTATGGAGAAAATCTATCTGATTGTGAGGAATTGAAAATAACGATGGCCCATAATCAATCAGTATAAAAACTGTCACCAATTGGGGTTCAGGAGAACCCCAAGCTCTATAACCATTCTGCAGAGTGCCCGTAATCCCACCCACAATATGCTGTATAGACAGATCTTCTCTACTCTGACTGGATTCAGATTTAGTCTGCTCATTTCTGAGCTCCACTTGATACCGGCCTTGAGATTTGTTACTTCTCCTGCATCCAACGAGAAGCAAGGCTGGATCTGATCCATGAATCAATGACATCTCCCTGCAGACCTCCAGATGTCCTTTTCTGGCAGTTTTATTTAGCAGCTGAATGCGCGTAAGAGAAGGTGGTGCCCCTTGGATCAAAAGCCCATGCAGATACCCTGAACCACCTTTTGGTATCAACTGACTGAAAGAAGATCCTGGAGACCTGATCCTATAACCCAGCCCTGCCAGGTATAGCAGAAAGATGCCATGGTCAATAGATCAAGCAACACTGAGGAGTTCAGGTGACACAAGATCCATGTCCCTCTTTCAATGTAGACCTGTCTGAGAAACTGTGGCAGATAATTCAGTTTCCAAACCTAGCTGAAAGCCCAATGAGAATAAATCTAATTAATGACCACAGTTGGAAACTTGACCACCGCTGACCAGGGGATTTGAACGAGGGATTGCTAAAACTCAATAAGCTGTCTGCTCTCCAGTTCCAAGGAACAGCACTAGGTGAGCACCCAATGTAAATTTAAACAATCACGTTAAATTGGTGACCCCTTGAACTACTTCTGAGGATCATTTCACATCTCAAATGAATCTTTCCACCAGGTTACACTGAGAAGGAAAGTGTAACCACCCAGTTCTTTGATGGGATATTCTATTAGTTTGTGCTTGACCAATTTTACATTAGTCACAGTTTAAAGGTCCCTGATTTTCAAAGATGCTGGTGCTCATATCCTGGGCCATGTAGTCTTCAATAAAACCTGGATTAGTAGAAATCAACCATAGCTTTATTTTCAGCCAGTTGCTCATGCTGCAAGGAACATCCTGGCTGGACTCAAAATTATCTTATCAACCCAAGAGGGAACAGGACATTCTGCCACGGAGAGGCAAATATACTCTGTCCTAATGTTATGCACGATTTATTTAAGAGTTATTTTGTAAGACAGATAGGACAGATCAATGCACAGAAATGCCGTTTTCTCCAAACTTCCTGGTCAAGCTTTAGTGGGCAAACCAGGATTGGGGTGATGGGGAGGGGGGAGAGACTTGTAATGCAGCAAGCCAGGTTTTCTTGCAACTTCATCAGGAAAGCAACGATTCTCCTGGCTTTGTATCCAAATATATCTCCCTGTTACAGAAACTCCGAAAGATATATTAGGAACAAGTTGTACAGTAGGCAGTAAGCAGATGCCCAGTTCTACATCCATATTTAGGAATGCCAAGGACAGCTGGGTGTCTGCTTACTGAGAAACAGTCAATGCAAGAGTATCATTTTCTGTAACCGTTGCTGCTGGCTGTTTTAAGCCTCTAAGCAATGCTTATGCAGGTAAAATAGCCCTTGCACGGAAGCCTTTAATAACATATCCGTGCATTCCGTGCCCTGCCTCCATGGTATCTGGCTGGGCTTTCAGTAAACCCCATAGACAAAGTGTAGATGCTGTTCATACTGATCCCGTGTCTGTTATGGCCAGGGGGTCTTTGCGGTCACTTAAAAGTACCCCTGCCAGGTACCGGATCTCAAGAAAAATAGGAAATATTTACTGGAAAATATGAGGAACTTTGAGATCTTGTCTCCAGGTTTTTCCCATCTTTCCTTCGTTTCCACTGAAGATCAGTTACCACATGCAATTTATATTCTAGGTAGGATTACTGGGAAAGCTCCATTCTCTCTCCTTTGTCAGAGCTTAGCACAACCAAGTAATTCGTCTCGCGGCCTGATCCATTATCCTGGGAAGCGACCATCTCCTCTGCCATGCCATGCTATGCCATGCCACGCCACGCCACCAAGCATCTCCTCTGAGGAACTCCTGGTAGAACATAGGAGCCACCAAGTTTTTCCAACATTGGAAATGGAAATCTCCAGCCGGTCCATCAACCCCAGTAGTAACGGGAGCCAAAACCAAGAAAGAGGGGGGGTGGG